GCCTGGATGCCCTGGGTCTGGGAGAGGGTCCCTGCTAGCCGCCCAGAGCTGAGCACATGGGGGCGGGAGGTAGGGAGGGAGGCCAGCCCTGATTTTCCTGCTTCTCCAGCCTGTTGGGATAGAGTTGGGGTTGTAGACACACTAACTTCCTTTTAAAGTTTTCCTCTATTGAGTTGTAATTTACATACAATAAAATGCACGCATTTTAAGCTCCCAGTGTGGCTTGTCTTCCATTCCCTCAACAGTGTCTTTCAAAGAGTAGATTTTTTTTTTATTCTGATGAAGCTGATCTCCTTCCCCTCCACCCCAATGGATTCTGCTTTTGATGTTGTATCTAAAAAAATCTTTGCCTAATCCAAGTTCATAAAGACTTTTCCTCTGTGTTTTATTTTAGAAATGTTTTACATTTAGGACTATGATGCATTTTGAGTTTATTTTTGTATATGGCAGTAGGAATGGATCAAAGTGTGTTGTTTTGCAGATGAAATCTAATTGTTCCAGTACCATTGGTGGACAGATTATTCTTTCTCCACTGAATTGCCTTTACATCTTTATCAATAATTACTTGATGACATGTGGGTCTATTTCTGGATTCTCTATTCTGTTCCATTGATCTGTTTGTTTTCATGCTAATACCACACTGTCTTAAAAACTGTAATTTTATAATAAGTTCTGAAAACAAGTAGTGTTAGTCCTCCATCTTTGCCTTTCTTTGAAGTTATTTTGGCAAATCTGGGTCTTTTGCATTTACATGTGAATTTTAGAATCAGCTTGTTAATTTCTATTTTTAAAAATTTTGCTGAAATTATGACTGGGATTACATTGAATCTATAGATTAATTTGAAGAGGATGTACATGTAAATATTGAATCTCCTGATCCATGAAAATGGTATCTCTCTCCACATCTATAGGTCTTTTTTATTTCTCTGAGCAGTATTTTGTAGTTTTTGATGTACTGTCTTTCATATCTTTTGTTGTATTTATCCCTAAGTATTTCTTACATTTTATGCTACTATAAATTATGTTTTTAAATTTTCAATTTTGGATTGTTTGTTGCCAGTATGTAGAAATACAATTGATTTTTGTATATTTACCTTGTATCCTGCAACCTTGCTAAACCCACTTATTAGTTCTTATTAGTTCACTTATTAGTTTTTTTAATAGAGTCCATTGGATTTTCTACATAGATGATTATGTTGTCTGTGAATAAAGATGGTTTTATCACTTCTTTTCCAATCTAGATGTTTTTTATTTCTTTTTATTGCCTTATTGTCCTGACTAGAGTCTCCAGTTCAATGTTGTGTAGAAGTGGTTAGAACAGACATTCTTGTCTTGTTCCTGGTCTTGGAGGGAAAAAGCACTTAGTTTTTCCCATTAAATATGATATTCACTGTAGATATTTCATAAATGTTCTGTGTCAAATTGGGGAAGTTCCCCTTTATTCCTAGTTTTCTGAGAGTTTTTATCAGGATGTTGCATTTTGTCAAATGCTTTTTCTGCCTCTATTGAGATGATCATATGATTTTTCTTTTTTAATCTGGAAATATGGTGAATTACATTGATTGACTGTCAATTTTTTGTTTTGTTTTGTTTTGTGACCGGTAAGGGGATCGCAACCCTTGGCTTGGTGTCGCCCGCACCATGCTCAGCCAGTGAGCGCACCGGCCATCCCTATATAGGATCCAAACCCGCGGCAGGAGCGCCTCTGCGCTCCCAGTGCCGCACTCTCCCGAGTGAGCCACAGGGTCGGCCCAGATTGTCAAATATTAAACCAACCTTGTATTCCTGGTATAAACCTCTGTTGGTCACAGTGTATTATTCCTTTTATATATTGCTGAATATATGCATCTTTTTATGTACATATGTTTTGATTTCTCTTGGGTAAATACCTAGGAGTAGGATGGCTGGATCATTTGAGAGATATATATTTAACTTTAATATGATATAAGTAACTACCAAACTGTTTCCGACAATGGATTGAACCAATTTCTACTCCTACCAGCATCGTATGAGAATTCCAGTTGCTCTGCATCCTCATCAGCACTTGATGGTATCAGTCTTTTAAATTTTAGACATTCGAATGGGTGTACAATAGTGTTATCACAAAAACTTTTCAAAAAAAGTATAAACTTCCTGCTCTTCATTGACAATCTTGTGTCTCCCTGTCCCCAGCACACGTGATTTAATTGGCTCTTGTCTTTTCACTCTCATGTAAAAGGTCTTGGCATCTCCCTTTCTTGGCCCTCTTTAGAAGTCGGCTGTTCAAATCGGTTTGTGGTGTATACACATGTATGTATATCCTCGCAGGCAAACACCAGGTGGGTGAGAAAGGCTTGGGCCAGACAGCCTTACATTTTGCACCTGTGGGACCTTCTGTCAGTTGCCACACATCACACAAGGTTGTGACCTCAGCTCAAGCCTGGTGTATATCTCATTTATCAAAGACAGGCGATGTTAGTAATGGCCAGAAGCCGTCACTTCTGGTCATGGCCTTCCTTGGGCTTGCTCGTCTGTGTCCCACCATGTTTCCCTCTAAGCAGGGGTTGGCAAACTTTTTTTTAAAAAGCCAGATGTGAGTATTTTAGGGCCATTCGGTCTCTGTCACAACTACCCAACTCTGCTGTTGTAGTGGGAAGGCAGCCATAGACAATCCGTGAGTAAACGGGTGAGGCCGAGTCCTGCAAAACTTTACTCACAAAGCCAGGCCACTGGGCCACGGGCCATGTGTGCCAGCTCCTGCTAAGGAGCTCTGTGAACAGGTCTTCCAGGCAGGAGTAGACAGCCTTGTCCCAGAGCCTCTGTACGAGGATGAGGGGTGGGGGGCAGGCAGGGATGGGCATCCTGGCCACTTGGCTGGGAAGGAGCTTTTGGTGGCCTTTGTTCAGCCATCCTTCGAATTTCCAGAAGGGTAGATAAAGGCTGTGAGAAGTGAAGCCTGGGTTGGTGGTCTACACTGTCAGGGCAGAATCCAGCAACACCGCCATGCAGTGGGAAGTGGGGTCCCCACTGTGTCCCAGTGATTTTCCCAGGTGGGCTCATTTTACCCACTGCCCCTTGTGAGTGAATATTAGTGTCCCATCTTAGCAGATGAGGAAACTGAGGCCTAGAGAGAGAGGGGCTGCTGCTTGCTCAAGGCTGCATGCCTGTGGGGCGCCTCGTGCACAGCTGTTGGCTGAGCGTTTGTGGGCAGCTTCTGCAAAGGTTTCTGGAGAAGATGGAGGCCAGGGGTTGAAATCAGGTCTGTCTCCTTTCCAGGACTGTTTGATCCTTCCCCACTTGTGCTCCAGAAGAGGGGATAACTATAAAACGTTTGCTGCTGCCTATAACTCTGTTCTTCCCCCAACAGCCACTCTGCTCTGCAGGCAAAGCTCCCCGTGCCTGCATGGGGTGTCATTTGGAAGATGTTTGTCGAATGACTGAGGGGTGAAGAGAAAGCCTTCGGTCTCTCTTGGAAATAGGGACTCTGCTGAAGTAGGACGTTGGTCATTCACTCTGTCATGGACTCTAGTGGAGACCTGCTCTGTGCCAGGTTCTGTGCTGGATCCAGGAGTGCTGGGATCTAGGTCCTCCAGAAACTACCACTAATGGGGAAGACAGGGAGCCTAACTGCTGGAACAAACATCCCCAGATCTCAGAGATGTCACATGACACAACATAGGCCCTTGTGGCGGTGCCTGGTCTGAGCATGTCTGACTCAGGGGCCCAGGCCCCTCTCACCCTCCCCATCCTCAGAGCCCCCCATCCACCAAGGCTGGGCACACAGAGCATCGTGGGCAGAGGTTACCAGCAGCAGGCTGGAGGGACACAGGTCCACTGTGCTCACATTTCACCAGCTAGAACTTGGCCCATGACCACACCTAACTGCTGGGAAACGTCTTCATCTAAACAAACCTCACCCAGGAGAGCCTTTACTTAAAAATAAAACCATTTCAGAGATGACTCATCCCTTTCCAGAGAGATATTCAGCCACCCCACTCCCCCTCTGCTTAGTTACCACGATGGGATGTACAAAACGGGAGGAAAAGTACCGAGAGCCATGCAGCAAGTGCCCACCACCACCCGCTGCCCCAGTTTAACAAGCTTTACATTCTGAGGGGTTCGCTTTGCCGTATTTCAGTAGGGAACATCTCAAATATGCAAAAGTAGGCACGACCGCAGCATGACGCTCACACCCCCCGTCTAGACTCAACAGTTGTTAGCTTTTTGCCATTTTGCTTTATCCACGGGTGCACACATATTTGTTGAACCTTTTGGAGTAAACTAGGCGTCAAGATGCGTCACATGAAAGGTCAAGCCAACCTTTTCATGACACATGAAACTGTCATGTCCAACAAAGTGGGTGCCGTGGTGTGCAATCACCTAACACGCCGTCCATCTTCAGCATCTTTCACGGCCACGATTCATCCAATCAAGTGCTGCATGTTGCTTTGGTTGTGCGTGTCTCATAAACTCAGGATGCTCTCCGTGTTTTGTGTTTTCTCTTCCGATCTTGGCCCTTTGGTCCTGGATTGATTCATGTGCACAGACATCCCCCCGGAAAGCCATCCCCAAAGGGTGCATGTGCCCAGCCCTGCCTGGGGATCTCTGGAAGGGGTGCCAGGCCAGCGCTGGATCAGCGACAGGAACTGGCCCTAGGGGGTGGATTCCTGGAGGGCAGTACTCCTGAGGTGGGGGTCTCCCTCTCCGGGTCCAGCACCCAGTGTGGGGCCTGTGCAGATCGGCTCTCAGCTCCCATGTTGTGGGGTGTCTGAGGAGAGCTCTGTCCACATCGGGGGGCAGTTAGGACAACCAGGTTGGGTTATCACCTGAGGACATGGGGACCCTGGCTTAGGGCCCAGAGAGCCTGGTGAACCTCAAGGGTCTCCTTCGCAGCCTCCCATTGCACAGATGGGGATCGAGGCTTCCAGCTGGGAGCCTTGTGATCCCTGATCTGATGCTCTGTCCACCCTCCAGGGTCCCTCGGGCTGAGCTTCCCTGAACATGTGGGCTTTTCCTTCCAGATCCCGACTGGGCTTCCTATACCCTGGGAGTGTTCATCTGTCTGAGCTGCTCGGGAATTCACCGGAACATCCCCCAGGTCAGCAAGGTGAAGTCAGTCCGCCTGGACGCCTGGGATGAGGCCCAAGTGGAGGTATGGGCCCTGGACAGAGGGCGGGGGGTGGGGCGTGGTGGAGACCCGGGGCAGTCCTGCTGCCGTGCTCTGGGTGACCCCCAGGCTCCAGGCAGCCTGGCTGTAGACTCTGATGGGTCTATGCTGCTCGGGGTGGGGGTGGGGGCGGTGCCTAGCTGGCTGGGGACCTGAGCTGGGTTGGGGTTTGGGGGCAGCCAACAAGACCTCAGCCCCCTTTCCAGTGGCTCCTCTAATGCAGATTCCCCCCGTTCCTCCTGGGCAGGGGTCTGACTCCGTCTTGGGGCAGCCATGTGCTCTGTGGGCAGCTACAGGGCATGTGTTTACTGAGCACTTACTATGTGGCAGGCATGGAGGGCTGAGCAAGGAAGACCAGTCGCTGTCCTCTGGAGAAGTCCTTCAGGAGAGGGGACCAGGGTGGTGAGCAGATGCCCAGAAAATGCCAGCAGCTGGCAGAAACACTGCCGGGTGGGGGGTAGTGACTCAGGCAGGGGTGGCAGGTAGGGCCCAAGTGAAGCAGAGAGGGAATGTGGCTCAGGCAGGGGAGCGAGCGCTCTAACCCCCTCTGACGGAGGCCCTGGGGAGAGGGGTTTGCACCATGGAGCGACAGATGTGATTTACGTGTTGAAAGCCTCCTGGCTGCTGGTGACTTGGATTGTAGGGGCAAGGGCATTATGAGGCCAAGGTGGCCATCCAGTGAGAGCAGGTGGCCGTCAGGAGGCTGTCGTGGGGGTGGGGGAGGGTCTTAGGTAGGGGGCCTCATGTGCACTCCCCTCTCCACTCTCTAACCATTGACCACCCCCCATCCTGGGAGTAGCTGGTTTCCTACTCCACGTGTAGCCTTGATGCTTCGGCATCTCCTGGGAGCTTGTTAGAAATGCAGAGTCCCAGGCCCGCCCAGCCCAGCCCTCTCAATCAGCTTCTGCACTTGACAAGGCGATCCTCCCATACATTGCAGTTCACAGGGGCCCCTGTGAATGCCTGCAGGACCTGGCCAGAGCGAGACTCTGGCCCACCTTGGGCTCAGTGCCTTGGGGCTTCCCTCTGACTCCGAGCTGGACACCTGGTTTGCAAAATCAGTCCCTTTTGCCAGGCAGTTGGCCTGTCTAAGCCTCAGTCTCCCTTTCTGAGAAACAGATAGGATGGCCCCTGGATTATTCCCTTCTGGGAACAGAGGATCAAAGGCTGATGTAAAAAAGGTGATGAGGGCTTGTGTCTCATTTCCAAGTCACCCTCCCCACTGTCCTGGGAGGAGGCAGCCAGCTGGAGGGAACACGGTGGCCCAGACCTCTTGGGCTGGGGGACAAGGCCTGCCCGTTTTCTTGGTAATTCCTTGTCTGGCTATCCCAGGGCAGACATGGCCAAGGCACGTGGTCTCTGCCTGGCTTCTTGCTGGTGATTCTCTGAGGAAGGGCGGCCTACTTCAGCCCCTCACTCAGGCCCTTTTACCATTCCTGGGCTGGGAAATCCGAGAGCTTGGTTGTGAGCTGGGCCCACCCAGGCTGGTAGCACAGCCCCAGGGGGCCAAGCGTGTCCCACCCTCCCACGGAGAACACAGGCTGTGGGGGCCAGGCTCAGAGGGAACCTTCTCTCTCTTCTTTCCTTTTCCCTGTTCACATGTCATGGTTGTTGATTTTGCAACTTTATATTCTTCTATAACATCTTTTTAAAACTTCATTGGGATATAATTCCCCCATTTATGTGCAATTTAATGGTTTTTAGTATACTCAAAGATACGTGCAACCATCATCACAGCCAATTTTAGAACATTTCGGCACCTCAAAGAGAAACCTGTGCCCTTTAGCTGTCCCCACCCCCACCCCCAGCCCTAAGTAACCACAGATCTACTTTCTGTGTATACAGACTTGCCTATTCTGGGCATTTAACAAAAATGGAATCATATACCACACGGTCTTTGTGTCTGGCTTCTTTCACTGAGCAAGATGTCTTCAAGGCTCATCTATGCTGTAGCATGTGCCAGTGCTTCAGCCCTTTGGATGGATATACAGTTGTCCCTGGGTTCCAGGAACCCCACTTCCCTGCAGATACCAAATCCGAGGAGGCTCAAGACCCTTATATAAAATTGTGTAGTATTTACTTATAACTTACGCACGCCCTCCCGTATACTTTAAATCATCTCTAGATTACTTATAACACCTGATGCAATGTAAATACTATGTAAATCGTTGTTATACTGTATTTTTTTATTTGTATTATTTTTATTGTTGTATTAAAAATTTTTTTTCCAAATATTTTCTTTTTTTTTTTTTGTCTTTTTCCGTGTCCGGCAACGGATCGCAACCCTCAGTGTCGCCCCCGTACCGGACCGGGACCAGCAACGGGATCGCAACCCTCGGTGTTGCTCCCGCGCCTCGCTCAGCCAGTGAGCGGGAACCGGTCTGTATGTGGGATCTGAACCCTTGGCGGGAGCGCAGCCGCGCTTCCCAAGCGGCACACTATCCAGTGCGCCACCGGGCCGGCCCTTCCGAAATATTTTCTATCTGCGGTTGGTTGAATCCACAGATACAGAACCTGGTGATACAGAAGGCTGACTGCACTACATTTTGTTTATCCATCCATCAGTTCATGAACATTTGGGTTGTTTCCACCTTATTCAATATCTTTGAATAATTTGGCAACCTACAAACATAATAATTGGTAACATATTCAACAGGTTCAAAGGAGCAGTAGTGGAAAGTGAGCTCCCCTCCTTCCTTGTCTTCAGCCTCCCTGTCCCCACCCCCGGGGGGCGACCAGGGGGCTGGAGTTCTTTTTTTGTCTTTTTTACTGACCGGTAACGGGATCGCAACCCTCGGTGTCTTCTCCACATGGGATCCGAACCCTCGGCGGGAGCGCTGCCTCGCTCTCAAGCGGCTCACTCTCCAGTGTGCCACCGGGCCGGCCCTAGGGGGCTGGAGTTCTGTGCATCTTTCTAGGAGACGTTCTTTGCCTGTGCAAGTGTGTGTGCGTATTTTAATCAGTATACGGGGAGCCTTCTCTTCCCTGAGGTTGTGTGGTAATTGCTCTTGGAATGGACATCGGGTTGTTTCCAGCCTTTTCCTGCTGTGACCACCGGGCCACTGAACGGCCTCATAGGAGTGTCATTTTGCAACATGTGGGAGTTTATTGGTAGTCTAGATTCCTAGAAGTGGAAGGGCAAGGTCAAAGGTGTTGTAGCTTGGTAATTTGGGGGAGGTGTTTGCCAAACTCTCCACCGTGACTCCTTCCACGAACCCAGCGCAGGGTGAGAGTGCTTGCCACGTCCCTGCCAACACTCCGGGCTACCCAGCGATCTTCCTTTGCTAAGCTGATAGGTGCAAAATTGTTCTCATAGAGTCTGAAGTTGGAATTTTCTTATCTTGAATGAGATGGAGCATCTTGCAGAGTGTTTTAGAATCGTGTGTGCTTTCTTATCCGTGAGCCGTTTCTTCTTGCCTTTTGCCTGACTTTCTACCGCTCTGCGAGTTGCTCGTGTCTTTGAGCGGTTCTTCATACGTTATGGGAGTTAACCCTTAGAGACATTCGTTGAAAACATTTTTTCTAGGTCGTCTTTCAACTTTGCTCACGGTGATTTTTGCTATGGAAAATTTTTGACTTCGATGTAGTCAAACCGATCGAGCTTTTCTTTTGTGGTTTTAGGGTTGACAGCCTACTTGATAGGTCTTCTCTGCCCCGGGGGTTATTTTTTAAATAACAGCTTTATTGAGATATCCTTCACATACCATGCTACTCGCCCTTTTGAAGTGTACAGTTCAGTCGCTTTAGTATGGTCACAGAGCCGTGCAACCGTAACCACTGCCCAATTTCAGAGCATTTTCATGTCCCCAAATAAAACCCCCTACCCATTAGCAGTCACTCCCCACTTGCCCACCACGCCTATTGCTCCAGCCCCTACTGAGAGTAGAAAGGTCTGTCTTCTGTCTCCGTAGCTTTGCCTATTCTGAACATTCATATAGATGGAATCGCAGGCTGTGGTCCTCTGTGACTGGCTTCTCTCACTGAGCATAATGTATTCAGGGTTCACAGAATGTGTCAGCGTCCCCTTCCTTTTCACGGCTGAATAATATTCCCTTGTATGGACAGACCACACTTAGTTTATCCAGGCCTCGGCTGATGGACGTCGGGTCGTTCCAGTTCTCATCTGCTACGAATAATGCTGCTGTGAACGTTCGTGTGCAGGTTTTTCTGTCTTCGTTTCTCCCAGGATGGAGTGGGATGGCTGCGTCCTATGGCGACTATGTCTCACATATTGAAGCGCTGGCATCTGTTCTGTTAGGACGCTGGGCATTCCCACCAGCAATACATGAGGGCTCCGGTTTCTCTCCCAACACTGACCGCTGTCTGTCTTCGACTTCAGCCACCCTCGTGGGTGTGAAGTGCTATCTCACCGTGGATTTGATTTGATGGCTAATGACGTTAAACATCTTTTCATGTACTTATCGGGCATTTGTATATCTTCTTTGGCGAAATGTCCATTCACATCCTTTACCCATTTTTAAATTGGGTTATTTGTCTTTTTATTATTGAGTTAGGAATCTTTATTATTAAGAGTTCTCTATATATTCTGGACACAAGTCCCTTATCAAATATAGGATTTTCAAATAGTTTTTCTCGTTCTGTGGTTGTCTTTTCACTTTTTTAAAAGCAATATTTTTTAAATACAAAAAGTGTAGCTTATGTTCTTAAGGAGCTATCTGTATAATTCTTTTTTATTATTGAAGTGAAATTCACAACATAAAATTAACTATTTTGAAGTGAACCATTCAGTGACATTTAGAACATTCACAACGTTGTACAACCACCACCTCTATCTAGTTCCAAAACATTTTCACCACCCCCAGAGGAGACCCCGGGCCCACGAGCAGTCACTCCCGTCCCTCCCCCCAGCCCCCTGGTGACCACCAACCTGCTTCCTGTCTTTACAGATTTGCCTGTTCTGGACGTCTCATATCAACGGAATCATATGACGTGGGACCTTTTGTGTCTGGCTTCTTTCATTTTGCATAATGTTTTCATCATATCTTTTCACTTTCTTTATAGTATCATTTGTAGCATCAATTTTTAATTTTGATGAAGTCCCATTTATCCATTTTTTTTTCTTCTGTTGCTTGTGCTTTTGATGTCATGTCTAAGAAACCATGACCTAATCCAAGGTCATGAAGATTTTCTCCTATACTTTTCCTAAAATTATTTTTTAAAATCATCCCATGATTTTTGTCTACTATTTTTATTGTTTCATTTTTGAAGTTAAATCTTTCTTCAATTGGAATGTATTTCGGTGAATGGTATATTTGACTCTGTTTTTCTCTCCAGATGGCTTCCTGGTTGCCCTAACACTTTCTAGTCAACTAATTGATGTTTTCCCCCTGTTGATTCAAGATCTATTCCTGGATTTTTTCAGTTTGTTCCATTGAGTTAGGCTCTCTGATCAGCACCTAACTGTTGTATTGATAGTAACATTGTCACACATTTTAATATCTGGTAGGTAGAGTCTTCATTTTCAGGATTTCCTAGGATATTTTTGCTTGTTAATTTTTAAAATGAACTTTGGAACCATTGCTAGCTTTAAAAAATTCTATTGCTATTTTCTGGTGAATAGTAAAAGAACAAAATAGGGCTGGCCAGTTGGCTCAGTTGGTTAGAGCGTAGCACTGATAACGCCAACATCTAGGGTTCAATCCCTGTATCGTCCAGTCACAGAACCATAGCTAGCTTTAAAAAATTCTATTGCTATTTTCTGGTGAATAGTAAAAGAACAAAATAGGGCTGGCCAGTTAGCTCAGTGGGTTAGAGCGTAGCACTGATAACGCCAACATCTAGGGTTCAATCCCTGTATCGTCCAGTCACTAAAAAATAATAGTAATAATAATAATAGTAAAATAAAAAAATAGAGCTGATGGGTTAACTCAGTTGGTTAGGACATGGTGCTGATCCACTAAGGTCCAGGGTTTCATCCCTGTACCGACCAGCTGCCAAAAAAATAAACCACAAATAGTAATAAAAGAATTGTAAAAAATATAGAGACTAACGTAAGGAAACAATGTTTTTCCATCTTCCTGTGTCTTTGTTCAAGGTTTCTTTTGTAGCCTTCAGGAGCATATGAAATTTTTCTCTACAGAGACTCTGGACATTTCTTATTAAACTGATTCTTAGGCATTTTGTCTAGTTGCTATTATAACTAGTATCTTTCCTTCCATTATATCTCTTAATAGATTGAAATTTTTTATAGAAAAGCCATTGATTTTAGAATTTTTATTTGGTGCCAGCCTCTTCATAACTAGCGTCTTTCCTTCCATTATATCTCTTAACAGATTGAAATTTTTTATAGAAAAGCCATTGATTTTAGAATTTTTATTTGGTGCCAGCCTCTTGCGGAATTGTCTCGTTGTTTGTGCTTTTTATCCGGTGGATCCTCTTGGGTCCTGCATATTTACAGCCCTTGGGGCTGCAGTGTGGGGTGCTCAGGCCCTGCTGGCTCCCACTCACCGCACCCACCGTGCTGGCCCTGGCGTCTCCTCCCACGTGCCCAGCACGGTCCAGCCTCAGGGCCTTTGCACCTGCTGTTTTCTCTGCCAGGGACCAGCATGACCGGCCTCCTGGAGAGCCTCCTCCAGCACCCTGTACAAACTGCACCCTGTTTATTTCCTTCTTAGCCTTTTCTACAGGTTGTAAACATGTTCTCGGTGCCTGCAGTCTGCCTCAGGAGCACAAGCTCCGTCTGGCCAGGTCTGGGTCCACTTGCTCACAAGCCTGGCTCCAGTCCTCCCTGTGTCTGGCACATGTTGTCTGCCTGCTGAGTGTGGGTTGGACGAATGAATATGCCCAGCCTTGCACGAAGCAGCAATGGGGGCCTCTCAGAATGGACCAGGCTCTCCACCCGGGATGCCCATTGTGGAATGGACCTTGGGGCGTGGAAACGGGGTGTGTGTTGGGCATAGCTCAAATGGCACAGCTCAGAAGGGGAGCTCTCCTCTTGGCTACCCTCTCCCTCTTTAGGGACATTAGGCTCCTTCCTCGTGCCAGGGAAGGGTAGGTCTGTCCCTCCCCAATCACTTGGAAATAGTGTCCCTGGGACGGGAGGTGTGTGGAAGTTCCCGTTCCAGCGTCCGGGGTCAGCCAGCCCTGTGTGATGGGGGCCTAGAGGGCAGCAGGCACCGCCCCGGCCTGGGGCTCCAATGCTCTGACCCTGGCCACCCTCTTTCTGTTGCAGTTCATGGCCTCCCACGGGAATGATGCCGCAAGAGCCACATTTGAGTCCAAAGTGCCCTCTTTCTACTACCGGCCCACGTTTTCCGACTGCCAGTAAGTACAAAGGGGCTTTGTCAGGGTCACTGGTAAACAGGGCTGGGCCATGGCTCCAGAGATGGCTCGGGAGGACCACGGGGCGGGGCGGGCTGATGGCCGCAGCCGAGAGCTGTTGGACGGGCAGCCCGTGTCCCCAGGACCCCCAAGTGTGTGGCAGATTTCTGCTTCTCTTTCATTTGTTTGGTTCTGGGTGTGGTGGGCGGTGGGCTGGAGCGGGGGCACAGAAGGACGTTTTCCTGTCAGTGGCTCTAGCCAACCCAGGTTCTTTGGGGGCAGCGGGGTCCTCAACAGGGATCTCAGGGTACACCTCAAGGGTCCTTCCCGCTCGTCTGGAGTTGGTCATCATTGGGGAAGGTCTGGGAATCCCTCTCTCCAGGCAGCCCCTGGTGTCAGGAGGCTGCAGAGAGAGCGGGAATGAGGGCCACCTGGGGCCCTGCTGAGTGTGACACTCACCCACCTTCTCTGAGCCTCAGTCACCCCCTCTGCCAAGCCAGTGGGAATAGTGAGGTGGGGATGACACAGGGCCCTCCCCTCACCCCTACCTGCAGGGGAAGGAGATGGTGTGGCCCACTGTCCCCCTCCTAAACCAGTTCCCAGCCCCAGCTCTCCCTGAGCGCCACCTCCTCCCATCCAGGCAGGATCACCTGTTCCCCATGCCCACCCCATGCCTTCCTGCCTCCCGACCTTTGCCCAGGCTGTTCCTTTCACCTGGAGTGTCCTCCCTGTCCCTGCCCAACACTGTCCAGCACCCTTGGCCTGGCTCTGTTTTGCTGCCTCTTGGTCCTGAGACCCCCCTCCCTCCTCTGGCCACTCAGAGCTGGCTGGGGACCCCGAGCATGTCCTAACTGGTTTCTCCTGGTCGACTTTCCCAGTGGGAAGGGGCTCCAGGCGGGTAGAGCAGAGTGGATTTCTGATTTTCTGGCACCCAGAACAGGTGGACACACCCACAGGGCTCCAGAAGTCAGAGCTCACGTGAGGGGGCTCGGGGTCCTGCACACCAGCTTCCCCTGGGACAGGGCCTGGGGGTCGAGGCTAGGACCCCAGCCCACTTGGGTGCTGCTTTTGTCAGGCTCANAGAGTCTTCATTTTCAGGATTTCCTAGGATATTTTTGCTTGTTAATTTTTAAAATGAACTTTGGAACCATTGCTAGCTTTAAAAAATTCTATTGCTATTTTCTGGTGAATAGTAAAAGAACAAAATAGGGCTGGCCAGTTGGCTCAGTTGGTTAGAGCGTAGCACTGATAACGCCAACATCTAGGGTTCAATCCCTGTATCGTCCAGTCACTAAAAAATAATAGTAATAATAATAATAGTAAAATAAAAAAATAGAGCTGATGGGTTAACTCAGTTGGTTAGGACATGGTGCTGATCCACTAAGGTCCAGGGTTTCATCCCTGTACCGACCAGCTGCCAAAAAAATAAACCACAAATAGTAATAAAAGAATTGTAAAAAATATAGAGACTAACGTAAGGAAACAATGTTTTTCCATCTTCCTGTGTCTTTGTTCAAGGTTTCTTTTGTAGCCTTCAGGAGCATATGAAATTTTTCTCTACAGAGACTCTGGACATTTCTTATTAAACTGATTCTTAGGCATTTTGTCTAGTTGCTATTATAACTAGTATCTTTCCTTCCATTATATCTCTTAATAGATTGAAATTTTTTATAGAAAAGCCATTGATTTTAGAATTTTTATTTGGTGCCAGCCTCTTGCGGAATTGTCTCGTTGTTTGTGCTTTTTATCCGGTGGATCCTCTTGGGTCCTGCATATTTACAGCCCTTGGGGCTGCAGTGTGGGGTGCTCAGGCCCTGCTGGCTCCCACTCACCGCACCCACCGTGCTGGCCCTGGCGTCTCCTCCCACGTGCCCAGCACGGTCCAGCCTCAGGGCCTTTGCACCTGCTGTTTTCTCTGCCAGGGACCAGCATGACCGGCCTCCTGGAGAGCCTCCTCCAGCACCCTGTACAAACTGCACCCTGTTTATTTCCTTCTTAGCCTTTTCTACAGGTTGTAAACATGTTCTCGGTGCCTGCAGTCTGCCTCAGGAGCACAAGCTCCGTCTGGCCAGGTCTGGGTCCACTTGCTCACAAGCCTGGCTCCAGTCCTCCCTGTGTCTGGCACATGTTGTCTGCCTGCTGAGTGTGGGTTGGACGAATGAATATGCCCAGCCTTGCACGAAGCAGCAATGGGGGCCTCTCAGAATGGACCAGGCTCTCCACCCGGGATGCCCATTGTGGAATGGACCTTGGGGCGTGGAAACGGGGTGTGTGTTGGGCATAGCTCAAATGGCACAGCTCAGAAGGGGAGCTCTCCTCTTGGCTACCCTCTCCCTCTTTAGGGACATTAGGCTCCTTCCTCGTGCCAGGGAAGGGTAGGTCTGTCCCTCCCCAATCACTTGGAAATAGTGTCCCTGGGACGGGAGGTGTGTGGAAGTTCCCGTTCCAGCGTCCGGGGTCAGCCAGCCCTGTGTGATGGGGGCCTAGAGGGCAGCAGGCACCGCCCCGGCCTGGGGCTCCAATGCTCTGACCCTGGCCACCCTCTTTCTGTTGCAGTTCATGGCCTCCCACGGGAATGATGCCGCAAGAGCCACATTTGAGTCCAAAGTGCCCTCTTTCTACTACCGGCCCACGTTTTCCGACTGCCAGTAAGTACAAAGGGGCTTTGTCAGGGTCACTGGTAAACAGGGCTGGGCCATGGCTCCAGAGATGGCTCGGGAGGACCACGGGGCGGGGCGGGCTGATGGCCGCAGCCGAGAGCTGTTGGACGGGCAGCCCGTGTCCCCAGGACCCCCAAGTGTGTGGCAGATTTCTGCTTCTCTTTCATTTGTTTGGTTCTGGGTGTGGTGGGCGGTGGGCTGGAGCGGGGGCACAGAAGGACGTTTTCCTGTCAGTGGCTCTAGCCAACCCAGGTTCTTTGGGGGCAGCGGGGTCCTCAACAGGGATCTCAGGGTACACCTCAAGGGTCCTTCCCGCTCGTCTGGAGTTGGTCATCATTGGGGAAGGTCTGGGAATCCCTCTCTCCAGGCAGCCCCTGGTGTCAGGAGGCTGCAGAGAGAGCGGGAATGAGGGCCACCTGGGGCCCTGCTGAGTGTGACACTCACCCACCTTCTCTGAGCCTCAGTCACCCCCTCTGCCAAGCCAGTGGGAATAGTGAGGTGGGGATGACACAGGGCCCTCCCCTCACCCCTACCTGCAGGGGAAGGAGATGGTGTGGCCCACTGTCCCCCTCCTAAACCAGTTCCCAGCCCCAGCTCTCCCTGAGCGCCACCTCCTCCCATCCAGGCAGGATCACCTGTTCCCCATGCCCACCCCATGCCTTCCTGCCTCCTGACCTTTGCCCAGGCTGTTCCTTTCACCTGGAGTGTCCTCCCTGTCCCTGCCCAACACTGTCCAGCACCCTTGGCCTGGCTCTGTTTTGCTGCCTCTTGGTCCTGAGACCCCCCCTCCCTCCTCTGGCCACTCAGAGCTGGCTGGGGACCCTGAGCATGTCCTAATTGGTTTCTCCTGGTCGACTTTCCCAGTGGGAAGGGGCTCCAGGAGGGTAGAGCAGAGTGGATTTCTGATTTTCTGGCACCCAGAACAGGTGGACACACCCACAGGGCTCCAGAAGTCAGAGGTGAGGGGGCTCGGGGTCCTGCACACCAGCTTCCCCTGGGACAGGGCCTGGGGGTCGAGGCTAGGACCCCAGCCCACTTGGGTGCTGCTTTTGTCAGGCTCAGCACCAGGATAGGAACGTGCCCTCCAGGGCCACCCTGGTCCTCCAGACCCTCGCACAGCTCCTCAACCTTGCCGTCTCCCCGCCTGCCATTGGCCAGCCCTGCCCTCCCAGGCCCTCCTTCCTGAACATCACTCAGTGGCTCCCTCTCTTGGAGAGGCGTTCTGAGGTCCCATGGGGGTGAGAAAGTTCCCCAGAGTGACACAGAGAACCAGGGATGTCTGCCTCCCAGCCCGGAAATCCCCATTCTGTGGGCCAGGCAGGGGTCATGCAGGTCCAGGCAGGAAATGAGGGTGAGGGCCTGGCCGCACCACTGTCCCCGGCCGGCGATGAGCCCATGTGCTGTAGGGTCTCTGGGCCAAACCACTCTCCAGCCCCCGTCAGTCCTCCCCGGAGCCTTTGAGGTGCACGGTCAGGCCAGGCCCCCCCAACCTCATTCCCAAGCCACGGCTCAATTCCGGCCCCACCTGGGCTCCACCCGGCCTCTTGTCTGCTCAGCACTTTCTTCTGTTGACTCACTTTGTAAATGCAAACCTCCTGGGACCCCACCCACGGCGGGACCTGTGGAACCACAGGCTGGGGGCAGCGCTTGTGTGTTTTCTAACATGATGTTCGAGGAGCGGCTGGCCTCCCAGGTCCCTGACGACACGTTTGGGGTCGTTGAAGGGAGAAGGGACTGGGGGAGTGTCCAGGTAACAAGTGACTCGGTTTCTTTCATTGCATATTTGCTCCTGATTGATGAGAGGCCACCATGTGCCAGGCCCTGCTCTAGACGCTGGGCAGGCATTTTCTTGGGGAGCCTCACATGCCCTTGGGAGGGGGGCCTGGGGATCCCTGCTTCACGGAGGAGAAGACCGAGGCTGGCCGTGCTCCCCTGTGCTCTGAGTGCTCACACCTTTGCCCCAGCCTCCGTGATTCTACCAGGGCGGGCCTGGAGACCTGCCCCTATCCTGAGAGCCCAGGTGCCGGCCACTCCCGCACCCCATGTGATCACAGGGAAATCCATTGCCCAGGCCCTGCCCAGGTCCCTTCTCAGTATGAATCAGGCAGCCCGGGTGCTGTGACCACGCAGCTATTTTTGAGACCTGATTTTATCGCCCTGCCTGCAGGCTGCTCTGTGGCCTGGGTCATTTGCGTGTGTGCTCCCCACACTTCCCAGCCTGTGTGAGCTGGGACCAGGGACAGACACTGGGGCATGAGGGACGCTCCCAAGCTCAGGGGCTGCTGCCACCAGGGCCTTCCTGAGTGACCAGGTGCCCCAGGTGGGGGTTTCCTGGGGCTGACACCCACCTTCCCAAGTTGGGGTTGAATCCCTCTATAAACTGTAGAGTGCTCTAAAATATAGAATGTGAATCCCTGTGTAAGCTGTAGAGTACTATGGAATGGCAGTAGGATGTACGTGAATCTCTGTGTAGACTGTAGAGGGCTGTAGAATGGTAGGAGGTGGAGTGTAACATACTATATAAACTGTAGAGTTCATGGAGTGGTCAGAGGTAAGGATGTTTGATGGGAGAGTATTGTAGGAGGTGCGTAGGAAGGTGCTTTGTAAACTGTAGAGAGCCTATGGCATGGCAGAAAGTGGTAGGTGGGTGGGAATACCTACAAAAACTGTAGAGTGTTGTGCAATGGTAAAGGGCAGTATGGATTGCTGACGTTGCCAGTCCTGGCATCTTGGCTGCTCAGGCTCCTTCACAGTCCAAGAAGAAGCCCCCCAATCACCCACCACAATGACCTTAATGAGAGCCAATCAATGTCCAAGGCAGGCTCCCAGGGAGGACCAGCCAGGACAGTGGACATGGGTCATCCCTGTCCATAGCCAGTGGTCTGCTCTGACCCAGAGCAGTGAGCTTTGGCCCCCGGACCCTGTGGCCTTGGAGGCCCAGCAGGCATCTTCCATTCCTGGGGTGATAGTGGCGGTGCTATGGCTGGCATAGTTCCCTGTCCCTGGCTCCCCAGCCTCAGGCACTCCAGCCACAGCTGGGGAAGTTGAGGGAAGAGCTCTGTGCCTAGTGCCAGAGCCCCTGGTGACCCCATTCCCAGACATCCTGGTGAGGTGAGGCCCTGTCTGCTTCCCTCTCTGTGCCCCCAGATCCTCCCACCCCCACCAGCCCCTGGAGCCCACAGCGCCCAAGCAGGTCCTCACTTGAAAACTCGTGCAAAGCTACACGCTGCACAGACATCTGGGTGGCACCTCTGCAGGGGCCAGAGTAGCAGGCAGTGACGCGGACAAGGACACACCAATTCTAGAGTGCCCTGAACTCACACCCCACTGCCGCACCTTCTCGGCACCCCTTGAGGTGGCTCCATGCGGGACATCCTCCAGGGAGGCAAGGCCTCAGTTTCCCCAGCTGTAAGACAGGGAGGATGCCACCTGCTACTTGGGCTGGCCCAGAGTGGGTCTCAACACAGGGGTCCCTCCTTTCTGAAGCTCAGAGCCCCCGAGTGAGCTCAGAGAGTCCTGCCATGTGCTGTCTCTAGCATCAGGCCCGCGTCGCTTCCTGTCAGCGTGGGTTTCTCTCTTGACATAACGGGCTGCTCTTCTCCCTTTTATGTCTGGGTGGAAACCAGCCATCTCCCCGATTCCTGTGTGGTGACGGGCTGGGTCCAGCTGGGGCAGGGGCCATGAGGCTGGGAAAGTCGGCCGAGAACAGCCCTCGGCTTCCTGGAAGCACCTCTGTGGGTGCCCCTCTCTGCCCACCCCCATGAAGAGCCCCCAGAGCTGCCCCAGGGTCCCCACAGGAGGGCAGGGTGTCCCCGCTGAAGCGGGCCCTGTGTGAGCTTCCTGGGGCTGCCATAACAAATCGCCACAGGCCGGCAGCTTAAAGCAGCAGAAGTGTGTTTTCTCACCGTGCTGGAAGCTGGAGTCCGGGATCAAGGCTGGTTTCTCCTGAGTCCTCTCTGCTTGGCTTGTAGACGGTCACCTTCTTGCATCTGCATACGACCATCCCTCTGTGTGTGTCTGAGTCCAAATTTCCCCTTTCCTAAGGACACCGGCCATATTGGATTAGGGGCCACCCTGCTCCCGTATGACTTCATCTTAATTTAACTAATCTGCGACCATCCTATTCCCAAATAAGGTCACATTCTGAGATCCTAGGGGTTAGGGCTCCAACAGAGGTCTGGGGAGGACACAATTCAGCCCACAGCAGCCCCAGAAATCAGCCCACCCAGATGACATGACGGGAGGTCTGGGGTTTGCGGGAGGTAGGGGGACATTGGGGCAGGAAGAAAGGCTTCCTGTGAGGCTGTGAGGGGGTATGTGGCCTTAGCTGTGGCCCTGGGGTGGGTTGGGGTCACTCCCAAGAGACAAAGCCCAGAGCCCCCCACCTCCAGGCAGGGTATTTACAAAATCCTAAAGTCCATGAAGCATAGGACTGAGGGAAAGAGCGACATTCAGTGATGAATTCAGGTGGAACAGGTGGAGGACGAGTGCACACAGAGCCCCCAGAGTGTGCGTGAGCTTTGGCCACAGGGGCGACTGGCCATACTCCCCTGTCGCAGGCCACATTCATCCACCAAGCGGGTGAGGGGCCCCGGGCTGGACCATCCCTGGGGGATGGGAGGAAGGGTCTCTGGTGGCCGCCTGAGGCTGGGGAGCACTGTGAGGGGCAGAGTGGGGTGTGGGCCCTGGGGCTTAGAGCAGGGACAGTCCTGAAGCTAGGTGGAGTGGGGGGCTTTGTCCACCCCCATGAATCCGCTCCCTGGGGAAGTGCTCACCCCAAGCACTTACCCAGCACCTCCCCCACCAGTTCCAGGCCATGGCAGCTCAGCAGTGTCCCAGTTCCTGGTGTGCTCTGGGTTGAGGTGACCCGTCCCCCACCCCAAGGGCCCAGGCACTGAGGGGATGGTGGTTAGGGGCTGTGAAGGCTGGCTCCCCTGAGCCCTCTGAAACACAGGACAGATCCCTGGGAGTGGGGGGCTTTGGAGCTCCCCATGGGTTTCCGTCCTGGCCCCCCAGGTGTCCTGAGCCCACTTCCTCGTCATCAGATGGGATGTTGGTGCTACCCCTGTCATGGGGCTTGGGAGCCCTGGTCAGTGCTGGTTTTCCCTGGTGCAGGAAGCTGGAGATGGCCTCAGGAGAGCAGGGCAGGACCCCATGGCTGGGTCAGGGCCAGCTGGCCACATTGGCTGTCTCGGGGGGCACATGGTGAAGGGCTAGCACCGAGATCCCACAGTGACAGAGGATTTGGGATCACTCTGCAGGGGGGACATGGCCATTGACCTCCAGTGCTGCTCTCAGGGCTTCCTGCTGCAGGTGGAGCCACCAGGACCTGTGTCTGCAACAAAGCAGTGGCCTGGGACCTCATGGGGCCCCTGCCCTGGTGGGTCTGGCGAGAATGCACAGTGGCTGTTTGCAGATGCTTATCAAAGCCCTCCTGATGCCTGAGTCATGTGACGGGCTCCTGGCTTCCACGCATGTGGCTCTGTGAGGCCAGGTGTGTTACCCCTGTGTTACAGATAAGAAACTGGGGTACAGGAGGGAGGCTGACTCCTCCAGGGCCACACAGCTAGGGCCCTTCAGGGGGCTGAATAGTGACCCCAAGAAGATGTGTTTAAGTATTACCTTGCAGAACGTGGGAAGTGAATTTATTTGGAAATAGAGTCTTTGCAGATGTAATCAAATCAAGATGAGGTCATCCTGGATTAGGGGGTCCCTAAACCCCATGACTGGTGTCTTTATAAGAGAAAGCAGAGGGAGACTGAGACAGACACACAGGGGAGGAGGCAGAGATTGGGGACAAGGGATGCCAAGAAGTGCCGCAGCTGCCAGAACTGGAGAGGCCTGCAGCAGGGTCTCCCTCAGAGCCTCCAGAAGGAACCAGTCCTGCCGACACCTTGATCTCAGACTTCTGGCCTCCAGACTGTGAGAGAGTAAGTTCAAGTAGCTTTGAGCCCCCCGGTTTCAGGTGGTTTGTTATGGCAGTTGCAAGACACTCCCATGCTCCCACGGAGACCCCGCCCAAGGCAGGGGGCTATAGCAGGAGGACCCCTGGGACCCCCACAGACCTGGGTTTGAGCCCAGCTTCAAGGCTGACCACATGGGCCCAGCATGAAGCCAGAGGTTTCCTATTTGTTCTGTTCTGTGTAATTGACCAGAAATGGAAAACCCCCAAAGCCCGAGGAAATGTGCTGAGGCCACCAGCCCTCCCCCTGACCCAGGGACACCCCAGGATTCTCACCAAGCCCTAGATCTTGGATCCTCGCAGGGGCTCCTGGCTCTCTTCCTGCTGCAGTCCAAGGGGCTCCCTGGGGACCCACCCTCTCCCTGAAAAGTATTCTGGGCTGGTGTTCTCTGGAGGCCCAGGAGCACGGGTCTGGGGCTGGGTGCTGGTCGTCATCCTTCTCTGCAGAGAGGGCAGCTCAACCCTAGAACTGCAGAGCACAGGGCCAGGGGGGCTGGCGTGGCCTTTTACTTCCTAAATCCTAGTATGACCCCAGCCTTCCCAATAATCAAAGAGGCGTATATTGAAAGGAAGTGTTTAAAGGAATATTATTCAGCCATAAAAAGGTTATAGTGAGGTGCTGATGACACCAAAGTCCAAGGTTCAATCCCTGTACCAGCCGGCCGGAAAAAAAAGGAAGGAAATACTGACACGCACTACAACGTGGACGAACCTCAAAATCATGCCGCGTGAAAGCAGCCAGAGGCAAAAGCCCACATACAGCATGATTCCGTCTGTGTGCAGAACAGACAGACCTGTCTCTATAGAGACCGAGAGTAGATTAGTGGTTGCCGGGGCTGGGCTGGGGGGAGTGACAGCTAATGGATGTGGGTTTCTATTTGGGGTGATACAAATGTTCTGGAATTGGACAGTGGTGATGGTTGCACAACCTGGGTGAATAGACTATGAACCACTAAATTGTACATTTTTAAAGGCTTCATTTTATGGTGTGTGAATTATATGTTAATTTTCTTAAAAAGGAGAGGTATTTGAAAGTGAAACCACCTGATTAACCAACCCTCTGAGAAGTCACAGCCGGCGGCCCTTCAGCTCAGCCTCCCCAGAGGCGGCTGGACACGGTCCATCACGTGCTCGGTGCTGAAGCTTCTGACCCCGCAGTTCTTTCCGGGGTCTCATGGCCAGAGGGGTGGTGGCCCAGAGTCTGCCTGAGAATCCCACAGGTGCCGGCCCAGGGACCATTCCCCAGGCACCTGATGGATCGGAGGCAGCCCTGGTTTAGTGTCTGTCCTGTCTCCCCAGACTCCTGCGGGAGCAGTGGATCCGTGCCAAGTACGAGCGGCAGGAGTTCGTCCACCCCGAGAAGCAGGAGCCCTACTCGGCAGGTGAGGGTTGGAGCGTCTCTCTGTGTCTCTCTCTGTCTCTCCCCACCTCACGGCGGTAGAATCGTCACTAACCTGGATAACTGGCTCATTGGTCTGAACCCGCTCTGTCTCCGTTTTGCCTTCTGGCTTTGAGCTGGGTGACTGCGGGGCTGAGTCCCTCTGTCTCTCCCCACCTCACGGCGGTAGAATCGTCACTAACCTGGATAACTGGCTCATTGGTTTGAACCCACTCTGTCTCCGTTTTGCCTTCTGGCTTTGAGCTGGGTGACTGCGGGGCTGAGTCCCCACAGCTGTTCATCGTGCAGCCCTGGCTGAGCAGGCGCGCGTGGGGAGCCCATGGGCTGTGGTGGGCCTGTCCCCTGCCGGTGGGGGAGGTGTGCTTTCCTCTGGGGTGGCCTGAGGGACCTCACTTGGGAGGGTGGGGCAGACGCCGCCCTCAGGCCCAGGTGAGGCAGTGCTGGCTTAGGCTGCAGGCAGGTGGGCTCTCAGCTGAGATCTGACCTTCCATACATGGTGCATCGGCAAGCTCCGGCTTCGTAAAATGTCCCTTCCTCTGCTACGCCGTTCTCGACAGATGGGGAAACTGGGGCAAGCAACGTGACAGGGCCTGGTTTTAAGTCATCAGCACTGTTAGCCCACGGAGGATTCAGGAAGGCTGGTGCAGCCTGGTGAGGCTGTTACCAGACTCAGGTCTGGCTGCCTGCCCCCTTGAGAAGGAAAGAAAAAAACTCACGAGTCAAACGGTGTTAGAAAAGCAGATGTATTCAGCTGAAGGAGATGGCAGGCTACCCCAACTCAAAGATTTACATTTACTGAGGGGTTTTTAAAGGAAGGGTTGAGGGAATGGAACAGGGGAGGAGAAAGCAGGAGAGCAGGAGACGTGAGTTATGAGGGGTCCATTTCTATGGGTCAGGTACAAGGTCTCGCCAAGGCCTCATCTGGTTCCTGTTCTCATCTTCGCTGTTATCTCAGGACCCTGCAAGATTCTGATTTGCACCAGTGTACACGGCTGGTGCCCAAGGTCAGCTTCCAGTCGGTTAGCCTCGATCATTTCTCAAAACTCCACAAGTCTCAGAGAAAGAACTGTTAGCTTTGCAAAGTACTAATTAGCTTCTCGGCCTTGTTTTCCTACTCAGTGAGCGAGATAAGAAAGTCAGGGGATGGGAAGCAAGAGTGGAGAGAAAAAAACTGTCCTTTTTAAATCTTTGCACACCACCCCCACCTCCGCAGCCCAGGCAGCTTTAGGTCCCAGCATGGCTTCAGTCCTGCTCACTCCAGCAAGGCCACATGGAGCTCTGCAGGAGGAGGAGGGGAGGCGGCCCCCCTCCCAGAGGCCCCTTGGCAGGTGGAGCCTTGAGCCAGGTCTCATGACCTTCAACTCTGAGCACTGTGTGTCACTGCTAGCTGGAGCCCTGTATACACCCTTGTATAAAAGAAAGGTGACCCCCAGACAGTGGAACACAGAACTACTGTGTGACCCAGCAATTCTACTCCTAGCGTATTTGCAAGAGAATTGAAAACAGGGACTCGTGCAGTTATTAGTACACAAATGTCCGCAGCAGCACTATTCACCATAGCCAAAAGCTGGAAACAGCCCAAACGCCCATCAGCTGATTAACAAATGGGGTATTTCCACCCAGTGGAATATTACTCAGCCATGAAAAGGGAATGAAGTACTGACACATGCTCAACGTGGATGAATCTTGACAGCATTAAGCTTAGAGGAAGAAGCCAGATGCAGAAGGCCACGGAGGTTCTGTTTCTATGAAATATCCAAAACAGGCAAATCTACAGAGACAGAGTGGATTAATGGTTGCTGGGGCTGGGAGGGAGGACGGGGAGTGAGTGCTAACAGTTACAGGGTGTCTTTTGGGGCGATGAGAATGTTTTAGAACTAGACAGAGGTGGTTATAGCACAACTCTGTGAATGTACTGAATGCTACAGAATTGGTGACTTCAAAATAGCGAGTCGTATTTGTGAATCTCACCTCAATAAAGAAAGGAAAGAAGTCCCACCACTGGCTGCAGAGAGGAAGTGGGCGGCAACATAGGCAGCAGAGGGGGGTCAGGTCGAGGACTGCCCCAATTGCTGAAACCCCTCTCCCGAGCCCCGCTCCCCCACAGATGGAGCTCACCTGCACCCGTGCCTACCTCCTGCAGGCTCCTCCCTCGGGGGCTCTGTCCGCACCACCGAGTTTTATTCCCAGGAGCAGATTGCAGTTGCGAGCAAGGCTGCCAGGTGGACCCAGCGCCTCCCAGCCATGCGGCCGAGGGGCCCCCCCGCATGCAGCGGTGAGTGTCGCTTGCCCAGAGCAGGCTGGAGACACCTGGCTCTCCTGTCCTCTCCTCCTGCCCTCCACCTCCCACTTGGCATGCAGCTGGCTGTAGTAGGCTTTGATTCAATTACTGTCCGCCCAGACAGTCGTGTCCTCCTCTCCTAGTGACTCCTAATGTACATGCGAGAGAGAGAGTGCACACAGACACTGGACGCTCCCCTGTTCCGTCCCTGCTGGAACCCCCAGAAGAATCACTGGAGCCCCTTTGTTTCTCCCGCCATAAGCACCTTAGCAATTTATAACAAGATGGTGTGTGACCTCATTTCAGGGGCTGGAGGAGCTGGGTGGACACAACCACATTGCTGAACTTTGTGTCTGTTCTCATATCAGACGCTTCTGGTTGTAAGCAAAGAAAATCCATCTTGGGCCGGCTCGGTGGCACACTGGAGAGTGCGCCACTTGGGAGTGATGGTGTGTGACCTCATTTCAGGGGCTGGAGGAGCTGGGTGGACACAACCACATTGCTGAATTTTGTGTCTGTTCTCATATCAGACGCTTCTGGTTGTAAGCAAAGAAAATCCAGCTTGGGCCGGCTCGGTGGCACACTGGAGAGTGCGCCGCTTGGGAGTGCGGCGGCGCTCCCACTGAGGGTTTGGATCCCATGTGGAGACCGGGTTCCCGCTCACTGGCTGAGCACGGTGTGGGCGCAACACCGAGGGTTGCGATCCTGTTGCCGGTCAGTAAAAAAGACAAAAAGGAAAAAAAAAAAGAAAGAAAATCCAGCTCAACTGGGCTTGAGCAACAGTGGAAGTGGATCGGCTCGCATAATTGGGGTTGGCTTCAGGTGCAGCTGATCTAGGGGTTCAATCAGTGTTGTTGGGACTTGGTTTCACTGTCTCCGCCTTCCGGTTCTGCTTCCCTGGGTCAGCACCAACCCTCCTGGTGGCAGCATTACCCCTGCAGGCCCAGATTTCACGTCCCTTCTCACTCACAAACGGTGAGGAAAGGGCGAGTGGGACTCACAGAAATGTCAGGAAAAGTGTCTTCTCTTGTTGGCTCTGGCTGGTCCAGGAGGGAGATGTGATACAGTCACTGGGACCAGGGAGGTGTGGTGCCCTGTGTCATGTGCCTGCCACTGGAACTGGAATTGGCCCTCCTGAGGAAAATTGAGGCCTCTGCTCCAGAGGTGGGGGTGCATGCCAGGCAGTAAGACCTGCAGGTCGTGTCCATCATGGGTTTGGAGAGTGAGCGAGCGAGTGAGCATTTTGCAGAATTTGGGTGTTAGTTCCAGGCACTTTGGTTGGCTAGGGGCCAGGTTTCTCCCTTTGCGTCATGTCACATAGGGCTCGGAGGTGGTGACAACCGTTGTAAGCCAGGAAGCCTCCCTCCCCAGCTCTAGGGTCTCCCATTACCGTTTCTGCTGTTCTTCTCGTGAAATATCCCCAATACCATGAGAGTGTTTGACACAAAACTTACAGCCCTTGCTGGACGCGGGGCACATGAATGGAGGAGAGAGAGGCCTTCCAGCAGGGTAGACTTGAGAGGCACAGAGATTCTCAGGGCACAGGTTTGTGGGCCAGGGCCCGAGGCCTTGCCCTGAAGCCTTTGAAGGCCACGGATGAGCAGATGGTTGCTTCTCAGTGCAAGGCAGCAAAGCCTTGGGACCCAGGCTGGCGTCCGTCCGCAGGGCAGGCCCCGTTCTGTCTGCACACCTCCGTCGTCTCCCCTGGACAGCCGGGACCTGGCGTGAGGCTGCAGGCGAGGTCTGACGCTGCTGTTAGTGGGACAGGAGTGCACAAGCCTCTCACAGAGGGCTCAGGCCACGGTGGCCACCTGGGGTCAGGTGAGTCAGGGCTGCCTGACAGAGCATTGCCATTATCTTCCCGAGCACGGGTGGAGATTGAGAGGAAAGCACTCAGGAGACTCGGCTGAGTGTGGGCAGGTACAGACCCGCCAGGCCCGGTGAAGGCCCCTGTCTATCCAGGCCTGGCTTGTGCCCGCAGCTCCCTCGGGGCCCTGGGCAGGAGCGAGGCCTTAGCTGGTCCCCTGTGTTCTCAGGCGACACCCCTGCTGTCCAAGCCAGCTTTCTCTCCACCTTGGGGGGGGGGGTCACTGGCATTGAAGGTGGGGTCTGGACATGGCTCTTGCCAAAAGAGAAATAACTTACACTGGAAGGGTGGTCTGGGAGCCTTCCGGCTCTTTCAGCCATGTGTCCCTCCTCCCTTCCAGGGAAGTGCTAGGCACCCTCAGCACCCCCGTCCCTCTGTCCCTCTCCCTCCTTACCTCTAAGCAGGCTTCCCTTTGGCCTCTCCCAGCACCACCCTACCCCAGGCCATCATCTCTGCTGCCACCAAAGGGGCAGTGGGCTGCTGCTGCTGGTGGCCTCGAAGGGAGGGGATGGATTAATTACAGACCCCAGCACAGAGACCTTTAATGAAGCGTTTATGTTTGTTCCTGTTTCTTGAAAGCTGTTGCCACCCTGAATGCTGCTGCCGCTTCCTCCTCGGGGGCCTGAGTATGCATGCCCGTGCCTCGCACCCTGACAGCGCCCCTTCCTGATGGGCTGTGACTGACAGGAGCAGAATCCTGGGTGTGTGCAGGACCCTGGGGGTCATCTAGCCGTCCCTGCCTCCACCCAGGCCTCCACCAGACCATCCTTGGGACACTGTCACCCTCAAGGTCACATGGGGAGGCAGCAGGCACACTGGCCAGAGAGCCTTGACT